AAGTGATTACAGATAAAACTATTATGAATGTTTTTCTAAGTTTTCATGGGCATTTACTTTCTTTTAAAAAAAATCCTTTTTATTTACTTATTTATTTTTTAAGGAATACAAAGTTCATAAGTACAACTTTAGGAATACAGTGATTCCTCCCACCATACCTGCCCTCCCACCCACACTCCCACCCCTTCTCCTCCCTCTCCCCTTCCCAGTGCATTTGCTTTCATTTCTCTTGTGTTAATATGTAGGCATGGAATGGCTAGATAATATTGTAGGTCTATATTTAATTTTTAAAAAACTGACATGAATTTTCAAAGTAATTGCACTATTTTACCTTCGAATTAGCAGCAGTACATGAGATTTCAAAATCTTCCAGATTGCAATCAACACTTGATGTGGCCTGTTTTAGGAACTTTACACATTCTAATTGGTGTGTGGTGGTACCTCATTTGGGTTTTAATTTGCATTCACCTAATGACTAATGATATATGCATCTTTTTATTTGTCATTTACCTACCTAACTTTTTTTCCCCTAGCTGTATGTTCAAATACTTTTCCAATTTTTCATTGGGTTGCAAATATTTTCTCCCAATATGTTACCTCTTATGGTTTTCACAGTGCAATTCAAAAGTAAGATACCCAGTTTATCATCATTTTGTTTCATAAATTATAGTTTCGGTGTTATGTCAAAGAGATATTTCCCCAACAGAAATTAAAAATATTTTCTATGTTTTTTTTCTGGATATTTTACGATTTTATATTTTACACTTAGGCCTATCATCAGTCTGAGGTTATGGGTAAAGTTCGTATTTTTTGTTTATGAGACCCCAATTGTTCCAGCATCATTTTTTTGGAGACACAATCCTGTCTCTGTTGAATTGCCTTTGGACTCTTGTTGAAAATAAATTATATATAAATTGTGTGTGTGTGTGTAGACAGCACTGACCTACCTGTCTATCTTCATCCCAATACCCCATTGTCATGATTATTATAGCTTCACAATAATGCTTACAACCAGGTACTTTTAGTCTTCCATCTTTGTTCTAATTCAAACCTGTTTGGTTACTCTACATCTCTTCTGTTTATATATGCAATATTCGATCAACTTTTTTTAAAAAAGATTTATTCATTTATTTGAAAGGCAGAGTTACAGAGAGGCAGAGTCAGAGAGAGAGGGTGGAGCTGTGCCAATCCGAAGCCAGGAGTCAAGAGGTTCCTCGAGGTCTCCCATATGGGTGCAGGGGCCCAAAGCCTCGGGCCATCCTCTACTGCTTTCCCAGGCCACAGCAGAGAGCCAGATCAGAAGTGAAGCAGCTGGGACTCGAACCAGTGCCCATATGTTATGCTGGTGCTGCAGACTGGGGCTTTAACCCACTGCACCACAGCGTTGGGTTCAAACTTCTTATTTTCTATAGAATGACAACTATGGTGTAACTGGGGCTGAATTGACTCTACAGATCAGTTTTGGGAGAAAAATGATACTGAGTCTTCTGACAGTGGGACTTGATATATCTCTCCATTTATTTTTTGGTCTTTTAAGAGTTCTTTTGGAACAGGTGCTGTGGCACAGCAGATTCAACCACTTCTTGGGATATCGATCTCCCCTATCAGAGTGCCACTTCAAGTCCTGGCTATTCCATTTCTGATCCAGCCCCATTCTAATGAGCCTGGGATGCAGCAGATAATGCAGATAATGGCTTAAGTGCTTGGTTCCCTGCCACCCATATGGGAAATCTGGATAGAGTTCTTGGCTCCTGGCTTCAGCTTGGCCCACCTTGGCTGTTGTGGGCATTTCGGGTGTGAACCAGCAAATTGAAGTGCTCACTCTCTCTCTCACTCTGCCTTTCAAATAAATAGATAAATAAGTAAATCTTAAAAAAAAAAAACAGTTCTCTCAGCAAACTTCTTTTTTCAAAGGATTTATTTATTTATTTTAAAGGCAGAGTTAGAGAGGCAGAGAGAGAAAGAGAGAGAGAGAGAGAGAGAGAGAGAGAGATGGATCTTTCATCTGCTAATTCAGTCCCCAGATACTCGCAACAACCAGGGCTACACTAGGCCAAAGCCAGGATTCAGGAATTCCATCCAGGTCTCCCATATGGATGGCAGGAACCCATGTACTTGGGACATCATTGGCTGCCTCACAGGCACATTAGCAGGAGGCCAAATTGGAAGTGCAGAGCAGTTGGGACTTGAACCAGGCACACTGATATTGGAATGCAGGCGTCCTCAAGTGGCAGCTTAACCTGCTGCACCACAATGCCCACCTCATAGCAAATTTCTATATGTGGCAACTCAATTTCGAGAATTACATACCTTTTGTAATATTTATCCACTAAGTATTTTATATCTCGATACTATTGTAAATAAATGCTTATGTGTTCAATTACTCCTCGCTAATATGCTGAAATTCAGTTGAGTTTCTTTACTGATCTGATATTCTTCAAACTTAACAAAAATTCAGTTAATTTTTCTTGCCTTTTTGAAGATTCCATATGATTTTCTACATAGTCAATCATGACATCTGTGAGTAATGACTTTTACTTTTTCCTTTTCAATCTGATGTTTCATTTTTATTCATTAATTTTATTGTTGTATTACATGGGTTGACACCACCAGAACAATGATGAACAAAAATGGTGATAGAGGATATTCTTGCCTACATTCTGATTTAACTATGATGTTAACTCTAGGTCCTTGTAGGGATGGATTTGGAATTTTGTCAAATGAATTTTTTGATTATGTTGACTGGATCTTATGGATTTTCATTTTCTAAATGATAAATTGCATTCATTAATTTAGCACATATTAAATCAATCTTTTATTATTGAAATAAGCCATGTTTATTCATGTTGTAATTATTATTTATCTTGCATGTTACTGGATTATTTTGCTAGATTTTTACTCAGAATTTTTGCATCTATGTACATGATTGATAATGGTCTTGGTTTTCTAGTAATGTTGTCTGTATTGGAATATTAGGCAATGCTGGACTCATGGAATGAATTGGGAGGTGTTCTTTCCTTTTAAATTTTTAGATTTTTGTAGTTTTGGTATTATTTTTTCATCATATCTTTGGTATAACTCACAGTGACACTCACTCTGCTAGTTTTCCTTGTGGGAAAGTTTTTACCTGTACATTCAATTTTCTTGTTAGGTATTTTGCTATTGAGGCTGTTTCTTCTTGGGTAATTTTTGGTCGTTTGTATCTTTCAGGGAAATTGTCTCTTTTACTTAAGTAGCTGAATCTGTTGGGCTACAGTTGTTCATAATATTCCTTTATTGTCAATATAATATCTGTAGAATCTGAAGATGTGATATTTTTCAATCCTGTTATTGGTAATTTGGGTCATCTTTTAATTGTTTTTTTTTCTGATTAGTCTTTGTAGAGGTTTATCAATTCTATTGATTTCAAAGAAATAGCTTTTGGTTTCATTGATTTTTCTCTATTGTTTTAGCTTTCTGTTTTGATCTTTATTATTTAATTTTCAGGGCATACTTCACATTTTATTTGCTTTTCTTTTTTTCTATTTTGTTTAGTAGTAGTTGAGGCCATTTAATTCAGATCTTTTACTTTTTTTAAGTTTTATTTATTTATTTGAAAGTCAGAATTACACAGGGAGAGGAGAGGCAGAAAGACAGAGAGAGAGAGGTCTTCCCTCCGCTGGTTCTCTCCCCAATTGACTGCAATGGCCAGAGATGCGCCAATCCGAAGCCAGGACCCAGGAGCTTCTTCTGGGTCTCCCACGCAGGTGCAGAGGCCCAAGGACTTGGGCCATCTTCTACTGCTTTCCCAGGCCAGAGCAGACAGTTGGATCTGAAGTGGAACAGCTGGGACACGAACCAGTGCCCATACGGGATGCCAGCACTGCAGGTGGCAGCTTTACCTGCTATGCCACAGCGCCGGCCCCCAGACCTTTACTTTATAAACAATTAATTAATTAATTAGAAAGATTTATAGAGATGGGGCAGAGCCAGAGAGAGATCTTCCATCCAACTGGTTTACTTCCGAGATGGCCACAATGTCCAGGGCTGGGCCAAGCCAAGGCCAGGAGCTGGGAGCCAGGAGCTTCATCTGGGTCTTCCAGGTGGATGGCAGGGTCCCAAACACTTGGGCCATTTTCCACTGTTTTTCCTAGGCTGTTAACAGGGAGCTGGATTGGAAGTGGGACAGCCAGGACAGGAACTGGTGCCCATCTGGAATGCTGGCAACTCAGGTGGCAGCTTTACCAGCCATGCCACAATGCCAGCCCCTGAACTTTTATCTTTCTAATAAATACATTTACTGCTATAAATTTTGCTATCAGTACTGCTTTAGTGGCATTCCATAAATGTTAACGTTAGTTTCATTTGTTTAGAGTCAAAATAATTTCTAATTCACCTTTGTGATTTATTTTGATCCTTGGGTTATTTACAACTGTTTTATTTTTTAAAATATTATTTATTGTTTAAATTAATTTTAAACAATTCTTTGAGTCAGAAAGACACAAATGTGCATGTGTGTATATATAAATGTGTGTAAATATATATGTATGTGTGTATATAGAGAGGGAGCGGTCCTATTCACTAGTTCATTTCTCAAATACTCACAAGTGCCAGGGTTATGCTGGGAACAAAACTGGAGGCTGGGAACTCAATCAAGGGTCTCTCTCATATGTGGCAGGAACCCAGTCACTTCAGACATATTAGTTCCCTCTCTGTGTCTGCATTAGCAGGAAGCTGGAGTCAGGAGTTGGAGCTGGGGATGGAAGAGTTACTCTCATATGGGATACAGAGTATTAAAGGATATCTTAACTACTAAGCTAAAAGCTCTCCATAGGAAGTGTTTTATTTAGTTGGTAAATATTTGAGAACTTTACAGAAACTCTTTTTGGTCATTGATCCCTAGTTTAATTCCATTTGGATCAGAGAACATACTTTGTGTGACTTGATTTTTTTTAAAGATTTATTTATTTATTTGAAAGAGTTAAACAGAGAGAGGAGAGGGAGGGAGGGAGGGAGGGAGGGAGGGAGAGAGAGGGAGAGAGAGAGAGAGAGAGAGAGAGAGAGAGTGTCTTCCACCGGATGGTTCACTCTCCAATTGGCTGCAACGGCTGGAGCAGTGCCGATCTGAAGCCAGGAGCCAGAAGCCTCCTCCAGGTCTCCCACGCGGGTGCAGGGACCCAAGGACTTGGGCCATCCTCCACTGCTTTCCCAGGCCACAGCAGACAGCTGGATCAGAAGTGTAGCAGCCGGGTCTCAAACTGGCGCCCATATGGGATACTGGCACTTCAGGCTAAGGCGCCAACCCACTGGGCCACAGCACCTGCCCCATGTGTGACTTGATTTTTAAAAAATATATTAAGAATTGTTTCATGGGCCCAAATATAGTATTTCTTCATGTATGTACTTAACAGAAATTTTTTTTCCTGAGGGGGAGGGGCATGGCTAAGTTAATTCATAGAGCTTTCCAAGTCTTCCATGTGTCCGATTTTTTGGTTATTTTTTTCCTGAGGTATTGAGAGAAGGGTATAGAAACATCCAACTATGAGTCTGATCTTGTCTATTTAGCTTCTCAATTTTATCCATTTTTGTTTCACCTATTTTGTGGTTCTATTACCAGACACATAAAGGTTTATAATTTATTGCCCTCTTAAAGAATTGAACTTTTATCATTAAGAACTAGTCTTTATTCTTGGTAATATTCTTTGGTCTGAAATACAGCTATTTTTCCTGTTTTAGTGTTTCCATGTTATGTCTTTTTTCATTGTTTTACTTTCAATTGCTTCATATTTTAACCTCTTTGCATTTATTTTTAATTACTACTAGGCAGCATATGGTTTTGTATTGCTTTTTCATCCAATCTGACAATCTTTGCTTTTTTATTTTGGGTATTTATATCATATACAATTGGTGTGAACATTTTTGTGCCTGACTTTTCAGTTATCATATTGGTATTTTTTAAAGTGTTCCACCTGCACATTATTCTTTTTTTTCTCTTTTTACCTTCTTTCAGAATAATTGAGTATTTTGTATGATTGTATTTGTGGGCACTGTTAGCTTTTAGCTGTAACTATTGTATTAAGTAGGAGTTTCTTTCAGTTTTATAGAATATATTTTTTGATTTGTTATAGTCTAACTTCAAGTGATGGTATGTTATTTCATATTGCATAAGAAACTTACAACATCATGTTTATATTTCTTTCCTCTAAGAATATGGACTATAACTTCTTCAAGAAGTTCATGGAAAATTGAATTAAAAGATAAGTTTATTTTTGTGCAAAAAATGTTTGTAATTCACACATAGCTTTTTATTATAAAGCAAATATTTTATTTATTGATTTATTTTAAGATTTATTTATTTATTTGAAGGCAGAGTTACAGAGAGAGAGAAAGAGAAAGAAAAAGAGAGAGAGGTCTTTCATCCGCTGGTTCACTTCCCAGTTGGCCACAACGGCTGGAGCTGTTGATCCAAAGCCAGGAGCCAGGAGCTTCTTCTGGGTCTCCCACATGAATGCAGGAGCCCAAGGATTTGGGCCATTTTCTACTGCTTTCCCAGGCCATAGCAGAGAGCTGGATCAGAATTGGAGCAGCTGGACTCGAATCAGCACCCATATGGGACGCCAGCACTGCTGGCAGTGGCTGTACCCACTGCGCCACAGCACCAGCCCCCACACACAGCTTTTTCATAACACATATTTTCATGAAGTTTTTGAAGACCTCTCACAATATTGTTATATTATAATTCTGCATGTGTTACAGACCCCCTTGTACTTTATTTAAATAGTGGATTATGTTTTAGTAATATTTGCACAATAAGAAAAAATATTTACATTCACAAAGCATTTTCCATTTCTTCATTTTTCACTCTTCATTTAGATCCAGATTTTCCATCTCATGTAGTTTTCCCTATGTTTGAAGGAATTCACTTATCACTTAGTGCCTGTTGCAAAAGAGGTCCACTCATGATTAATGATTTCAGATTATTTTATTTCTGGGAAAATATTTGACTTTGGAAGAGATTTTTACTGACAAATCTAAGTTTACCATTCTATTTTCTTCCAGTACTTTAAAGACATTACCCCATTATCTTGTCTTGTACTTTTCCTTATTTAAAAATATTTAATTGACAAAGAGCGTACATGTTCAAGTTGTACAACCTGATGATTTTATAAATGCATACATTATATAATGATTACTACAAATTAATTAGCACTTCTATAATCACCCATGCTGTAAATTAGATTCCCAGAACATATTCATCTGATAACTGAAATTTTTTACCCTTTGAACAGCATTTCCCCATTCCACACTTCGCCAAGTCCTAGCAATCACAATTCTATTCTGTATCTATCAGTTACTGCTTGAATTTTTTCTGATGAGAAATCTGATGTTAATCATAGCTTTACTATTCTGCCTTTTATCCTCTAGCTAATTTTTAAGTGATTTTCTATTTAGGACTAGTTTTAAGTAATTTCTTTACTATGCAGAAACTTCTTATTTTGATATAATATCCCATTTGTCTCTTTAAACAATTTCAAATGAATTACTATGGTGGTTTTTTTTTTTCCTTCATTTTTGTTACCCTTGGGATTCACTGAACTTCCTTCATCAGCACGTTTATGGCTTATATCAAATTTGGAAAAATTTTAGCCATTAATACTTCAAATATTTTTTATCACTCTTTTCCCTCTCCTCTGGGGACGGTGATTTCATGTATATTTGGCCATTTGAAGTTGTCAGAAGGCTCACTGTTGATCTGACCTTTTCACAATCAGTCTTCTTAAAAATTGGACTTTGTGTTTCATTTGGACATTTTTTTTGAGCTTGCCAAAATGGTTTATTCTTTTTTTTCTTATACCATTTTTAAATTTATTTTTTAAGGAATACAAATTTCATAAGTACAACTTTAGGGATAGTTATTCTTCCCACCATACCCAACCTCCAACCCACACTCCCACCCCTCCTCCTTGTCCCCTTCCCAGTCCCATTCTCCATTAAGATTCTTTTTTCAAATTAACTGTACACAGGAGACCGACTCTATACTAAGATTTCAACAATTTGCTTACACATATACACACACACACAGTTTGAGAACTAGTTTTGTTTTTATTATTTTTATTTTATTTATTTATTTTTTGACAGGCAGAGTGGACAGTGAGAGAGACAGAGAGAAAGGTCTTCCTTTACCGTTGGTTCACCTTCCAATGGCCGCTTCGGCCGGCGCACTACGCTGATCCAAAGCCAGGAGCCAGGAGCCAGGTGCTTCTCCTGGTCTCCCATGCGGGTGCAGGACCCAAGTACTTGGGCCATCCTCCACTGCACTCCCGTGCCATAGCAGAGAGCTGGACTGGAAGAGGGGCAACAGGGACAGAATCCAGTGCCCCGACCGGGACTAGAACCTGGTGTGCCGGCGCCACAGGTGGAGGATTAGCCTATTGAGCCGCAGTGCCGGCCAATAACTAGTTTTGTTTTAAAAAAGATTTATTTGTTTATTTGAAAGTCAGAGTTGAGATAGAGAGAGAGAGAGAGATAGATAGATAGAGAGAGAGAGAGAGAGAGAGAGAAAGTCTTCCATCCGCTGGTTCACTCCCCAAATGGCCACAATGGCTGGAGCTGTGCTGATCCGAAGTCAGAAGCCAGGAGCTTCCTCTGGGTCTCCCACGTGGGTGCAGGGGCCCAAGTACCTGGGCCATCTTCTACTGCTTTCCCAGGCCACAGCAGAGAGCTGGATCAGAAGTGGAGCAGCTGGGTTTCAAACCAGCCCCCATTTGGGATTCTGGCACTTCAGGTGGCGGCTTTACTGGCTATGCCACAGCTCCAGCTCCTGAAAACTAGTTTTACAGTTAACTCTCATAATACAACTCATTGAGGACAGAAGTCCTGCATGGGGAGTTAGTGCACAGTGATTCTTGTTGTTAGTTTAACAATTAACACTCTTATGTATGACATCAGTGATCACCAGCAGCCGGTGATCACCTTGACAGCTCATGTCAAGGCTATGGAAGCCTTTTGAGTCTACAAACTCTGTCAGTATTTAGATAAGGCCATAAGCAAAGTGGAAGCTCTCTTCTCCCTTTAGAAAAAAGTACATCCTTCTTTGATGGCCACTTCTTTCTGCTGGGGTCTCACAGAGATCTTTCATGTAGAACTTTTTTTGCCATAGTGACTTGGCTTGCCATGCCTGAAATGCTCTCATAGGCTTTTCAGCCAGACCATGAAGCCTTAAGGGCTGATTCTGAGGTCAGAGTGTTACTTAAAGCGATCGTCATTCTGAGTCTGCTGTGTGACTGCTTCCCATGTTGGAACATTCCCTCCTTTTTAATTCTGTCTATTGTTATTGTCAGATACTTGATCTTATGTATATGATTACTTTAACACTTAATCCTATCTATATGTTCCTTTAACACTTAATATGATCACTTTAACAATTAAGATGGCATTTTTACTACCAATCTTAATTGGATTGGAGTCCTATGACAAGTTTTTAAACTGTATCCTTAGAAGTAAGTCCGTAGAAATGTATGCAGAACTATACAGCTTTACAGTTACAAACTTCCTCCTCCTTTCTTATTCCTACTCTTAATTTTTACTGAGATCCATCCTCAATTGACTTCATACATATATAATTAACTGTATGTTAAGTAAAGAGTTCAACAAATAGTATGAAAAAAAAAAAAACCAAACAATCGAAAGTGAAGCTATCAACAATCAAGACAAGGGCAGCTCAAGTCATTCCTTCTTGAAGTGTCAATTTCACTTATACAGATTTCCTTTTAGGTGTTCTATTAGTTCTCACAGATCAGAGAGAACATATGGTATTTGCCCCTTGGGACTGGCTTATTTAACTAAGTATGATATTTTCCAGATTCATCCATTGTGTTGCAAATGACAGGATTTCATTTTTTACCACTGTGTAGTATTCCATGGTGTACATATTCCATAATTTCTTTATCCAGTATTCAATTGATGGGAATTTAGGTTGACTCCATGTCTTAGCTATTGTGAATTGAGCTGCAATAAACATGGAGGTGCAGATAACTCTTCTATTTACTGATTTCATTTCCCTTGGATAAATTCCCAAGAGTGAGATGGCTGGGTCATATGGTAGGTCTATATTCAGATTTTTTGAGGTATTTCCATACTGTCTTCCATAGTGGCTTTACCTGTTTTCATTCCCACCAACACAAGGTTAGGGTACATTTCCCCCTACTTCCTCCCCAGCATTTGTTGTTTGTTGATTTGTGTATGAAAGCCACTCTAACAGGGGTGAGGTAAACCTCGCTGTGGTTTTGATTCACATTTCCCTGATAGCTAGTGATCCTGATCATTTTGTCATGTGTCTGTTGGCCACTTGGATTTCCACTTTTGAAAAATGTCTGTTTAAGTCCTTGGCCCATCTCTTAACTGGGTTGTTTGTTTTGTTGTTGTAGATTTTCTTGATCTCTTTATTCTGTTATTAATCCTTTATCAGTTGCATAGTCTGCAAATACATTCTCCCATTCTGTCGGTTGCCTCTTCACTTTCTTGAATGTTTATTTTGCTGTACAGAAACGTCTCAATTTGATGTAATCCCAGTTGTTAGTTTTGGCTTTGACTGCCTGTGCCTCTGGGGTCTTTTCCAAGAAGTCTTTGCTTGTGCCTATATCTTTCAGGGTTTCCCCAAAGTTCTCTAATTTGATGGTGTCAGGTCATAGATTTAGATCTTTAATCCATGCTGAGTGGATTTTTGTGTAAGGTGTAAGGTAGGGTTCCTGCTTCATTCTTCTGCATGTGGAAACCCAGTTTTCCCAGCACCATTTGTTGAAGAGACTGTCCTTACTCCAGGGATTGGTTTTAGCTCCTCGGACAAATATAAGTTGGTTTTAGATGCTGGATTGATTTCTGGCATTTCTATTTTGTTCCAGGGGTCTATCCATCTGTTTTTGTACCAGTACCAGACTGTTTTGATTATAACTGCCCTGTAGTATGTCTTGAAATTTGGTATTGTGATGCCTCCAGCTTTTTGTTGTATAAGTTTGCTTTAGTTACTTGAGGTCTCCTGTGCCTCCATATGAATTTCAGCATCATTTTTTCTATATCTGAGAAGAACGTCTTTGGTATTTTGATTGGTATCACATTGAATCTGTAAATTGCTTTTGGAATAATGGATATTTTGATGATATTGATTCTTCCAATCCATGAGCATGGAAGATTTTTCCATTTTTTTTGTATCTTCTATTTCTTTCTTTAATGTTTTGTAATTCTCTTCAAAGATATCTTTGGCATCCTTGGTTAAATTTATTCTGAGGTATTTAATTTTTTTTTGTAGCTATTGTGAACTGGATTCATCTAAGCTTCTAAGCTCGATCTCAGCCTTGGCATTGTCTGTGTATATAAAGGCTGTTGATTTTTGTGTGTCGACTTTATGTCCTGCTACTTTACTAAACTCTTTTATGAGTTCCAATAGTCTCTTAGTGGAGTCTTTTGGATCCCCTACATACAGAATCATGTCATCTGCAAATAAGGATAGTTTGACTTCTTCTTTCCCAATTTGTGTCCCTTTGATTTCTTTTTCTTGCCTAATGGTTCTGGCTAAAACTTCTAGGACTATATTGAAGAGCAATGGTAAGAGTGGGCATCCTTGTCTGGTACTAGATCTCAGTGGGAATGTTTCCAATTTTCCACCATTCAATAGGACACTGGCCATGGGTTTGTCATAAATTGCCTTGATTGTGTTGAGGAATGTTCCTTCTATACCCAATCTGTTTAGGGTTTTCATCGTGAAAGGATGTTGTATTTTATCAAATGCTTTCTCTGCATCTATTGAGATAATCATATGGTTTTTGTTCTGCAATTCATTAATGTGATGTATCACATTAATTTGTGAATGTTGAACCATCCCTGCATACCAGGGATAAATCACACTTGGTCTGGGTGGATGATCTTTCTGATGTGTTGTTGGATTCAATTGGCTAGATTTTGTTGAGGATTTCTGCATCTATGTTCATTAGAGAAATTAATCTGTAATTCTCTTTCTCTGTTGAATCTTTTTCCAGTTTAGGAATTAAGGTGATACTGGCTTCATAGAAAGAATTTGGGGGGGCCAGCGCTATGGCATATCAGTGTGGCATAGCGGGTAAAGCCATTACCTACAGTGCCGGCATTCCAAAGGGGTGCCAGTTTGGGTCCCGGCTGCTCCACTTCCCATCCAGCTCTCTGCTATGGCCTGGGAAAACAGTGGAGGATGGCCCAAGTCCTTGGGCCCCTGCACCCATATAGGAGACCCAGAGGAAGGTTCTGGCTCCTGGCTTCAGATTGGCCCATCTCAGCCATTGGAGCCACTTGGGAAGTGAATCAGCAGATCGAAGACCTCTCTCTTTCTCTCTCTGCCTGTCTGTAACTCTGCCTTTCCAATAAATAAATAAATAATTAAATCTTTTTTTATAAACAATTTGGGAAGATTCCTTTCCTTTCAGTTGTTTTTGAATAACTTGAGAAAAGTTGGAGTTATTTAAATATCTGGTAGAATTCAGCAGTGAAGCCATCCAGTCCTGGGCCTTTCCTTTGAGGAGGGCCTTTATTACTGATTCAATTTCTCTCTTGGTTATAGGTCTGTTTAGGTTTTCTATGTCTTCTTGGCTCAATTTAGGTAGGCTGTATGTATCCAGGAATCTATCCATTTCTTCTAGGTTTCCCAGTATCTTGGCAAATAGCTCTTTGTAGTGGTTTCTGATGATTCTTTTTACTTCTGTGGTGTCTGTTGTTACATTTGCTTTTTCATCTCTAAATTTATTGATTTGGGTCTTCTCTCTCCTTTTTTTGGTTAGTTGGGCCAATAGTGTGTCAATTTTATTTTTTCAAAAAATAAACTGATTTTTTGCTGATTTTTTGTATTTTTTAATTCAATTTTATTATTATTTCACTAAAAAGGCCTTCTAATCCTTTCCCGCTTTCCACACCTTCAGGAACTCCTAGAACCCATATTTTGGTTTGTTTGATAATATCCTGAAAATCCTCACAGTGTTTTTTAGTTTTCTAGTTTCCTCTTCTTGTTTTTGGTTTGACCATATAATTTCCTGTGCTTTGTCTTCTAAGTCCAATATTCTTTTCTTCTGCTTCACCGATTATGTTGTTAAGGCTCCCCACTGTATTTTTTATTTGTTCTATTGAATTCTTCATTTCATTTTGTTTTCTCTTTAAGATCTCAATTTTAAGGGAGAAATTTTCTTTCATGTTCTGTACACATTTTAGTAGTTCATGCATTTGCTTTTGATTACTTCTGTGTAATCTTGTGATCAATTTTTTGAATTCCATTTCTTGCATTTCTTCAATCTCATCATCTTCACATTCTAGTATTGAAGTGTTGTGTTCCTTCAGGGGTGTCATGTTGTCTTCCTTATTCTTGTTTCTTGAATTGCTGCATTTTTTTTTTTTGCATTTGTGGAAATACTCGGTTTCTTCTTTGTTTTTATTTTTATTTTATTTATTTATTTTTTGCTGTGGAGGTTTTTAATCTTTGTACTATTCCTCTGTAGATAAGTGGAATGTCTGGTTTCAGTGAATAACTAGAGGCTTATAGTGGTTTGTGGCCAGGGAGCTCTGTTCAGTTCTCCACGGTGATGGGCATGTCTAAGGTGATACACTCCAGGTTTTGTGGTAAATCTCTCTCTCTCTCTTTTTTTTAATCAGAACGGAAGTTTATTCTGCTCAGCTGAGCTCCTCTCTTCAAAGGAGATCAGTGCCTGAGCACTAGCTCCAGGGGGTATAATATTCGTCTGCTCTGCCCCAAGGACCACACAAAGGATCTGTGCAGTCCTCAGTGTAAGCTCAGATTCCCCAGCAAAGTCTCTCACCAAGTAACCAGGAAGCCCTGAGTATGGACAGTCTCCCACAGTGACTGCCCAAAGTCCCAGCCACTCTGTGAGTCCTCCCACACAGCCTCAGTTTTTTTTTTTCACAGCCCCTGCACACAAGCCTCCCACTGTCATGAGCACCCAGCTGTTACATATGTCCAAAATGGTGCCCGCTTTATTGGCTTGTTACAGGACGCTTGTTGTAAAGTGATTGGGGAGAGATAAACATGTCCCTTTTTTTTCTCCTCTAGTTTGGCAGGTATACTATTCTCCATTGGGCTGCAAGCTGGGTTTCCTCTAGGCTCTTCCTGCAGCTTTATTGCCAGTGGCCTGGGCTGCTGCGGTCTGGTCTCACCTCACTTTCCAATGCTAGTGCATAGGCTCTTGGCTGCCAGAGTCCTGAGTTGTGGGTGTCTACACCCTTCACATAGGTCCACCGTGTCCCTCTAATTTGTTAGTTTCCTCTGCCGTTTTCTCCCTAACTCTTCCCTGAGGCTGCACTCTCTCCACTTTTTAAAAACTATCTTCTCCTAGACTAGATCAGTATGCTCTCTCCCTATTCTGCCATCTTGGAACCTCATTTGGACATTTTCTATTGTGGTTTCAAAAAATTCACTAGTTGGTTCTTTTTTTTGTTTGTTTTTGCAAAGTCTAATCTGACATTAATTCTATCTGAAGAATTCTCATCACTTGTCTTTTTTTTTTTAATCTTGTATGATTTGCTTAACATGTGCAGCATTTTCTCTAATGCCCTGAGCTGATGAAATAGTTACAGTAATGGTTTCTATATCCCTGTTTACTAATGTTGCAGTAATTGTCATTTTGGAGTTAGTTTTACTTGATTCATTTTTCTCATAATTATTTTCCCATGTCTTTTCATACCTATTATTTTATAATTGGATGCCAGTGTAAATTTTCACTTGTGTTCTGGATTTTTTTCTTCTTATAAATGTTCTTGACATTTATTCTGCAATGCAGTTAGCATACTTTGGAATTAATATTTTTGTACCTTGTTTTAAACTTTGCTAGGAATGAACAGAGCTAGAATATAGTCATAGCTATTTTACCCACTACTGAAATTAGAACTTTTTTATTACTCTAATCCTTGCCCTTTGATATATGAGGTATTCCACTTGTGCTATTAGAGTATTCCATGGGCAGTGTTCTCTGCCTTCTATGATCTCTCAGCATTGTTTCCTGTAACAATTTCAGGTGGTTTTTTCTTCCTTCTTATTTTTGTAAAGATTTATTTATTTGAAAGGTAGAGTTACAGAGAGACAGGGACACACACACACACACGCAGAGAGAGAGAGAGAGAGAGAGAGAGAGAGGGAGAGAGAGAGAGAGAGAGAGAGATCTTCCATCCACTGACTCACTTCCAAATGGTTGCAATGGATAGGATTGGGCAAAGCCGAAGCCAGGAGCCTGGATCTCCATCTGGGTCTCACATGTGAGTGGCAGGTGCCCACATGGTTTTAGAATATTTTAACCACTTTTTCTCATAGCAGTCACTTATTCTTGTCTACCCCCAAAAAACTCAGTCCTAGGTGACTACCAATCTACTTTCTATTTCTATAAATTTGACTATTCTGGACATTTCATGTGAACATAATTATACAACATAAGCTATTTTGTAAACTGGTTCTATTTAGCATAATATATTCAAGGTTCATCCATGTTGTAATATACATTACTGTTTTATTTGTATTGATGAATAATATTCCATTGTATGGATAAATCAGATATTATTTATCCATTCATCAGCTGGCAGACACTGGATCATTTCTAGTTTTAAGCTGTTACAGATGGTGTCACTATGAACATTCATATATAAGAGGGTTTTTTTGCAAGCATATGTTTTCATTTCTTTTAAGTATATAAGTGGGAATGGAATTGCTGAGTCATATGGAAACTCTTGCTTAAGAATTTAGAATTAAACTATTTCCAGAGTGGCCACACCATCTTACATTCCTACCAGCAATGTGTGAAAGTCTCAATTCCTTAATCTATTCACCATTAATTGTTATTGTCCTGATTTTTTATTATAGTCCTTCTATTGCACTTGCAGGGGCATCTCATTGTGGTTTTGATTGCAATTTCCTATTTTTTTACATTCTCTAATAAGCATCTCTTCAGGTGCTTATTTGCAATGTAACTATTTTCTCTGGAGAAATGCCTGTTTAGATAACTCTTCTTTTGTTTTTCTGGTTTTAGTTGGGTTGCCATTTTAGAATTGAGTTTTAAGATTTCCTTATATATTCTAGAATAAGGGATTTCATTAAATATACTATTTTAATTTTTTTCCCATTCTGTGGGTCATCTTTCATTTTCTTGATGGTGTCCATGAAGCACAAAAGATTTACATTTTGATGAAGTCCAGTGTATATACTTTTTGCTTTTTGTTGTGAATTTGGTATGTCTCCTATCTAGGAAATATTTGCCTAATCCAAGATCATACAGATTTATGGTTATGTTTTCATCAAAGAATATATAAGTGCCTACCTTTACTTTCTGATACATTTTGATTCACTTTTTTATATAGTATGCCTTGAATCTGTAGATCAATTTGGGGAATGTTGCTATCTTAACAATATTAAGTTTTCTGATCCACAAACATGGGATATTTTTTCAATTAAGCTCTTCTTCAATTTTTCAACAATGTATAGTTTTCAATATAAAAATCATATACTTATTTTGTTAAATTTATTACCAGGAGCTTTCTAATGTTATAAAGAGGGTAATCTTTATAATTAATTTTAGGTTGTTTATTGATAGTGTATAAATATTTTTGCATATTGATTTTGCATATTGATCTTGTATCCTGATACTTGATGTACTTCTTTTTTGTTCTAGTAGATTTTTATTCAGTTTTCGAGAATGTTCTACATATAGGAACACATCATCTACAAATAAAAATAGTTCTATTTCTCCCTTTTCAATCTGTATGTTTTGTAAAAAGTTAGATATAACTCTCTTAAACTCACTCTATGAGGACACTATTACTGTGATCCCAAAACCAGACAAAAATATTACAGGAAAGAAAAATTATACTACTATCAATGACGCATGTGGATGCAAAGGTCCTGAACAAAGTACCGGCAAACAAAATGTAAGAGCATTAAAAGGACTATAAACCATAATCAAGTGAGATTTATTCCTGGAATGCTAGGATGTTTCTACAGAAGAAAACTGATCAATGTAATATACCACATTAAAAACCACAAAATAATCTCAAATAATGCAGAAAAAGCATTTGACAAAATTCAATAACCTTTCATGATGAAAGGAAAAAAAACACACTCAACAAACTAGAAATATAAGGACTCTACTTCAACATAATAAAGATCATATATGAAAATCTCACAAGTTTCATCTTCCTCTATGATGAAAGATTGATTCCTGGGGCCAGCACCTATGTCATCTGCATCCCACATGGGCGCTGGTTCGTGTCCCGGCTACTCCTCTTCCTATCCAGCTCCCAGCTAATGGCCTGGGAAAAGCAGTGGAAGATGGCCCAAGTACTTGGGCTCCTGCCACCCACGTGGAGATGAAACTCCTGGTTCCTGGCTTTAGCTTGGCAGAGCCCTGGTCATTGCAGCCATCTGGGGAGTGAACCAGCAGATGGAAGACCTCTTTATCACTCCCTTTCTCTGTAACTCTGCCTTTTAAATAAATTTTTAAAAAATCTTAAAAAAAAAAAAAGATTTTTCCTGAGAGAACAGGAACAGAAAAGGATGCCCGTTTTCACCACTTGTATTCAACATATTATTGGAAGCACTAGTCAGAGCAATTAGGAAAGAAAAGGGAAGTGAAAGGCATCAAAATTTGAAGGGAAGAAGTGAAATTATCTGTTTGCAGAGACTTGATCTTGTATGGAGAAAATACTATATTTTATAGAAAAACCTTAGAATTAATTTTAATAAAGAAATTGATCAGTTTCAAGGTACAAAATAAACATGCAAAAGTCAATTCTATTTCAATACATTAACACTGAAAAATCTGAAAGTGAAATTAAGCAAACAGTTCCATTTATAATATAAATTAAAAAAATAAAATATTTAATAATAAACCTAACCAAGGAAGCTGCAATGGTCTGAATGTTAGTGTCTCCCCCAAACTCATATTTGAAACCTAATCACTCAATGAGGTTGGTACTTGCAAGATGTTAAGTCATGAGGGTGGAGCCCTTGTGGATGGCATTAGTGCCCTTGTGAAAGAAGTTCCAGAGAACTGCACTGTCTCTTCTACTATATGAGGACACAGGAAGAAGGCATCAGACATGAAAATGGGCCCTCACCAAACACATAATATGCTGACACCTTGATCCTGGACTTCCCAGTCTTCAGAGCTGTGAAAAATCTGTTGTTTATAACCCACCTAATTTACGGTATTTTGTCATAGCTGCTCTAACAGACTAAGACAGAGGTAAAAGACTTGTGCATTTAAAACTACAAAGCAGTGCTTAAAGGAATTAATAAACAGTAATAATTCTGGTGTTTGTAGATTGTTAATATAGTTAAGATATCAGTAATACCTACAGTGTTCTACAGATTTAAGGTAATCCATATCTAAATACAAGCAACATTTTTTTAAAGATTTATTTATTTATTTGAAAGTCAGAGTTACACACAGAGAGAAGGAGAAGCAGAGAGAGAGGTCTTCCATCTGCTGGTTCACTCCTCAGTTGGCCACAAAGGCTGAGCTGCGCCAATCCGAAGCCAGGAGCCAGGAACCAAGAGCTTCTTCCGGGTCTCCCACGTGGGTGCAGGGGCCCAAGGACTTGGGCCATCTTTTACTGCTTTCCCAGGCCATAGCAGAGAGCTGGATGGGAAGTGGAACAGCCGAGACTCACACCAGTGTCCATAAGGGAAGCCAGCAGTGCAGGCGGCAGCTCTACCCGTTACGGCCCCAACATTTTTTTTTAATAGAAAAATCTGAGGTAGGCACTTGACACAGTGGTTAATATGCTTCTTGGGATGATAGCAGTAGAAGATGGCCCAAGTCCTTGGGCTCCTGCACCCACGTGGGAGACCTGGAAGAAGCTCCTGGCTCCTGGCTTCGGATTGGCCCAGCTCTAGCCGTTGCGGCCAATTGGGGAGTGAACCATCAGGTGGAAGACCTCTCTCTCTCTCTCTGCCTCTCCTCTCTCTGTGTAACTCTGACTTTCAAATAAATACATAAATCTTAAAAAAAATATGCTGCTTGTGATGCTTGCATCCCATATCAGAGTTGCCTGGGTTCAAGTCCCATCTCTATTCCAGATTCCAACTTTCTGCTAATGTGTACCCTGGGAGGCAGCAGGTGAGTTGCATCGTGCCACTCTGATTTAATTCCTGGCTCCCACATTTGGCCTCACCCAGCTCCAGCTGTTGTGAGCATTTGGCAGTAACACAATGGATGGGAGATCACTCACTCTTCTCCCTTTGAAATAAAGACAGACAATATAGACCAATGGAATAGAATAGAGAGCCAAGAATTCAATCTTCATGTATATGGTCAAGTGATTTTTCACAAGGGCACAAAGACTATTGATTGGTGAAAGAACAGTCTTTTCAGCAAATGGTTTTGGGAAAACCAGATGCATACATGTAAATGAATGAAGTTGGACTCTTAAACTACATAAAAACGGTAACCCAAAGAACCTAAATGTAACATCAAGAACTATCAAATTCTTAGAAGAAAACCTACAAGGAAAACTTTATGACACCTGGTTTGGCAATAATTTCTTGGATATGACACCTCAAACAAAGAAAACAAATAAATTGGACTACTTTACCAAAATTAACACCTACGCCCCCCAAAACACAAAGAATAGAGTAAAAATGTAGCCTACATAAACATGTATTACTTATGGGTGTCTCAAATAAATATGAGTATATGAGAAAGTAGTTGCATATCATACATCTGATAAAGGATTGATATCCTGAATTAATATAAAGAACTACAACTCAACAACCTGATTTTTTTTTTAAAAAGGCAAAATGACTACACAGACATTTCTCCAAGCAAGACATAGAAATGGCTAATATACATATGAAAAGATGCTCAACTTCACTAATTCCCCAGAGAAATGCAAATCAAAATAACAATTAGATGTCACTTCAAACTTATGAAGAGAGCTACTATTAGAAATAACTTTAAGTACAAGTGTTGGAAAGAATGTGGAGAAATTGGAACTCTGCATTATTGGTGGGAATATAAAAATGTGCAGCCACTATAAAAAAAAAAAGGACATCTAGATTTATAACCAAAATAATTGAAAGGACTAAAATAGATATTTGTACACCCATGTTCATAGCAGTATTACTTACAATAGCTCTAAGATACACTCATCTATCAATGGATAAATGGATGGACAAAAAGTAGTATTTACATACACAAGAATATTATTCAGTTTAAAAAAGGGGGGGGATTCTAATACATGTTACAACATGGATGAATTTGAAGACATTATGCCAAGTGAGATAAGCCAGTCAGAGAAAGACAAATAATGTATTATTTTGTTTATATGATGTACCTAGAGTTGTTAAATTTATAGAGACAGAAAATAAATAGTTGCTGAGAGCTAAGGGGAGAGAGCATAATAATAATGGGGAGTTATTACTTAGTGGATATGAGGCTTCAGTTTTGCAAGATGAAATAATTGTGTAAATAGGTGATAGTGATGGTTGCACAACATGAATATATTTAGTGTCACCAAAATGGTAAAGATGATAAATTTTGTTAAATTTGTTTTACTATGGTTATTTTAAAACTCAATTGACCATAAATGAATGGGTTTATTTTTAGACTGAATTCTGTTCTCTTGATATGTAAGCCCTTTCTTATGCCAATAACACTCTCTATCACTGTGTTGAGTACTACAGTTTTTAAAATTTTGTGATTGAATTTGGCCTTTCTTTTAAAATATATTTTGGATAGCCCTACCTAAAACACCTGCACTATGACCCTGAGTAGTATGCATAGGACTTTATGACACATATTTTGGCATAAACTGTTCTAAGGAATGACATTCCAATATTTTGTTAACAAGTTGCTAACTCTTGTTTATTTCCCCTCTAATTCAATGACATCATTTGGCATAAATTAACAAAAAAACACCACTAAGGGATGGAACTATTACAAACAATAAGTTCCTCAGTCTAGAGGAGTAGGTGCTTTTGCAAATCAGTTTAATCCAATGATACACAAATGCCATCATTTACAAATAACTGCTATCAGTATTAGGGTGTAGTGTGTTATGATATATGTTTCTCTTTGTACACACACCAGCTTCTTTTATTGTTTTAGAATTCAATGAGCAGATACATAAACCAACTCCAGTTTTCCATACAGTGTACTACTACTTATCAATAAAGGGAAAATATATTCATGCATACAAGGTATGAATCTCAAAGACATTTTGCTGAAGGAAAAATGACAAATGCAAAGGAAGAATACTGCATGATACCCTTTATATGACATTCTAGAAATAGCCCAAGTTGTCTCCACAAATAGGAAGCAGGCCAGTATTTGGCTGTGAGGGAGCAGAAAGGAAAGTGACTGGAAAGAGAAGTGAGGAAAGGTTCTGAAAAAATGATAAATTTCTCCATAGTGGTAGAAATTTGTGTTACACATGTGGATGCAATGACCAAAACTCAACAAATACCGTAGTTCAGATCTATGAATTTCTTGTATGTAAATTTTACCTAAAAAGAAAAAAAATAGACAAATATTAAACTATTTAATCATTAACATGGTATATTATCTACAGATGGAAAGTAGGTTGCCCATAGCTTAATTTAAATCTTATTTATTTATTTATTTTCCTTTTAATTGAAAGGAAGAGAGGGAGATAAATAGATCAATTTTTTTTTGACAGGTAGTTATAGACAGTGAGAGAGAGAGAGACAAAGAGAAAGGTCTTCCTTTTCCATTGGCTGCTACCGCTGGCACTGCGCTGATCCAAAGCCATGAGCCAGGAACTTCTTCCTGGTCTCCCATGTGGGTACAGGGGCCCAAGCACTTGAACCATCCTCCACTGCCCTCCTGGGCCACAGCAGAGAGCTGGACTGGAAGAGGAGCAACCGGGAGTAGAACTGGCGCCCATATGGGATGCTGGCGCTGCAGGCAGAGGATTAACCAAATGAGTCAAGGCGCTGGCCCCTAGATCAATCTTTCATCCTCTGGTTCAGTTTTCAAATGCCTGCAACAGCCAAGACTTGACGACACCAAAATCAGATGCCCAGAACTTCATCTACGTCTCCTCCATGGGTGGCAGGGACCAAAGTACTTGACCTATCACCTGTGCTCTCCTAGGATGTACATTAGAAGGAAGCTGGATCAGAAATAGAGGAGGGGCTGGTGCTGTGGCATAGCTGGTAAAGCTGCTGCCTACAGTGCTGGCATCCCATATGGCCACCAGTTCAAGTCCCGCAATGGAAGACCTCTCTCTCTCTCTCTCCCCCCCTCCCTCTGTAACTCTGCCTTTCAAATAAATCTTAAAAAAAAAGTCTATCTCTCTCCCTCCCTCTGTGTGTGTGTGTGTGGGTGGGTGTGTGGGTGTGTGTCTGACTCTACATTTAAAGTAAATAAATAAATACTAAAAAAAAAGGAAATGGAGGAGCCAGGTTCGAATCAGGCATTCTAACATGGAACGTCTCAAGAGGTGCCATAACCACTGCACCAAATGCCCATCCCACACAGCTTACATTAAAATGTAAACACACACACACAAAAACCCACGAATTCCTCTATGGATAATGGGTGGATATAGATATAGATATAGATATAGATATGTGATACAGGATAGAAAACCGCAAATACTTTAGTTTCTAGGTGATGGTTATATGCATAGTCCCGAAACAATTCAGTTAGTCTTTCTGGGTACCTGATAACTTTCATGATAAAATGTCAGGAAAAACTGATACTGAATATAAATTTGTATCTTACTTATTCACTCTCAATATAGCTTGATCATCTCCTCACATAATTTTAAATGCTACTACTATCTTGTTAATGGAACCCTATGTGAATATTTTAGAGTTGTTCAATCCTTCCTGTCCTGTAGCATATTTTAATAATTTTGCAGGTGATAGCCATTCCATGAATGGAAACCATTCCCATGAAGGATTACTGTCTGAGAATCACTTCCATGAAATAAAATCTTCCGAGTCAGATGTTAAGCAAAGATTTTATGTGGTGGAATATATTTTCTAGAGCAACGCTAAAGTGATTCATATCAATTTTCATTGTACCAGAATTTGAGAAGGTCAGGTTGAAGTCAGGAGCAAAAGCAAAAAAATACAATAATCACTAATTTGGGAATATCTTTGTTGGACTCTTGGCTTATTGAAAATTTAAATATGATTTTAAATCTTAACTTTTGTCTTTGTTGAAGAATTATTAGAAAATCCAAGTCAATAGAGGATAAATTTTAACAGTATCTTCCATCATTATTAATAACTTTTAAAGATATAATTCCTCTGTGTACAGCAGGCAAGCAGTGGAGAGAAGGAACATATAAGAAGATCACAAAAAATATCTGCCTTAGACCAAACTGGGAGGTAATTCCTTCTGGGGCATATGTTATGGCAAAAACTGGGAGGTTACATTAAAAACATATACAAACTATCATATGAATTAGTAAGGATAATATTGAAGAATAAATAAAATAAATAATTTTAACTGGTCACTTAATTAAGAAAATCACAAATTATATAGAATGGACATACATAGAAAGCAAAATAAAAGGAAGATTTACTTTACGATGCAGGGAAAGGACAAAGAAGAAATGCTGCTCTTGGATTAGGAATGGACTGGGATCTAAGGCAAGCACATCAGGACAGTTCTCAGAAGGAAGGTCAAGACAGACTGGGTGCCAGTTAGGTTAACCCAGAGAAGGGTAGGGAATGGATTTTGAATCTCAGTGCAGTATATAAAATGGGAACTCCTGATCTGTGCTGTCCCTGGTGTGTGGGATCCTCACACACTGTGGAACTGAGGAATGGGCCCCAAATGATCCCTGGCTTCTTATTCTTAAGCAAGTCACAGGTCTAGAATGGAGGCTAAACTTGGCAGTGGGCTATAAATTTCAAGCACTCTACAACTCAGGCAATGGAGGAAGCCTGGGTGCTAGGATTGGACGTCCAAAGTACTTGGCTGATCAAGGAGGAAAGGTTGATAGGACCGTGTCTTGGGAGTTGTAAAGCACTCACTGACCAGAGGCTGTTGCTGGGCTGAGCTCGCGGCTTCAGATGTTAAAACAAGAGCTGGAGGTAGAGTGGGATCACTTGACCCCAAAGCACTTTGCTAGTCAGGAATCAGAAGTGTCCTGGACTAAGGATTGCCCTGAATGCCAAAGTCCATGTGGCAGAGCTTGGCCCTGATGATACCATGCCCCCATCCAACTGAACTGCTTTCTCAAACACCTACATTTCCATTGGAAGTTACTGATAGGAAAATGTGGAGAAGAACTAGTTATACCTGGTGGAGAGAAACAGGAGATCAATTTCCTGATATCATCTTCTTCTAGGTGAACGGTGGCTATTCTCAATGGGCTTAGACCACACTTTTCAGTGCCCTAACATGAAACTCTAAATTACCTAAAGAACTGGTGAAAAGGAAACACTTTGTAGTCCCACCTTGACAATAGTTTAGAGCATGTTATAATGCAATGGGGATGTGCAGGTCCTTTTGTTTGATGCAGATACCCCAATTCAATCAGTTGAAATAGAAGGCCACAAAGGAATGTATTTATGCAGATGTGGGACTTCCAGGACCATTCAGCCTCAGAATCAAACAACTAAATATAGTTGGAGGGGGGGGGTCAGGTGGAAAGGTTTGGTCCCTCCTGAGTGTACTGCTGTTTCTTTCTTTTTTTTTTTTAAGATTTATTTATTTATTTGAAAGTCAGAGTTACACAGAGAGAGAAGGAGAGGCAGAGAGAGAGAGAGAGAGAGAGAGAGAGGTCTTCCATCCACTGGTTCATTCCCCTACTGGCCGCAATGGCTGGAGCTGAGTCGATCCGAAGCAAGGAGCCAGGAGCATCTTCCAGGTCTCCCACACAGGTGCAGGGGCCCAAGCACTTGGGCCATCTTCAAATGCTTTCTCAGTCCATAACAGAGGACTGAATCGGAAGTGGAGCAGCTGGGACTTGAACTGGCACCCATACGGGATGCCGGCACTACAAGCGAGGACTCTATCCCCTACGTTACAGTGCCACCCCCTACTGTTGTTTCTCTTACTCTAAGAGCTTAGCATAACTGTCAACATTGTAGCTCATGTACTTCTTCACTCATCACACCACTCAGATGGCAAGGCCACAGGTGGGTTTGCTCAGTCCTTCATCCTCAGTTTCTTAGGAGAGGCCTGCTCTGTAGAAGGGGCTCCATCAATAATGGGTTGAATGCAAACAAATGAACAAATGTACAGGCTCCATGCAGTGTTGGCTGGCACCAAACCTCCCCTGGTGTTCGACTTGGCCAACAGTTATTCACTGGGGATTAAGGACAGGGTTGGCCATGGGTTGAAGTTCAAAAGGCACTTCAAGACATGTTAGGTCTGGGCTCAGTTTGAGGTTCCAGATCTGAGAGTTTTTTCCTAAGAGGAACTCATAAGGGATTTATTTGTTAAGACTCCAATAGCAGGCTAGTGTTGTGGCACAGTAGGTTCAGCTGCTGCCTGTGATGCCAGCATCCCACGTGAGTGCTCGTTCACATCCTGGCTGTTGCACTTTAGATCCAGTTCCCTGCTAATATTACTTGGGAAGGCAGCAGAAGACAGCTCAAATACTGGGCCCCTGCTACCCATCTGGGAGACCCAGATGGAGTTCCAGGCTCCTGGCTTTGGCTTGACTCAGTGCTGACTGTTGTGGCCATTTGGGAAATTCTGAAACAGTGACTGGAAGATCTCTCTCTATCCTCTCTCTCTTTCTCTCTGTAACTCTGCCTTTCAAATAAACAAATAAATCTAAAAAAAAAAAAAAAAAAAAAAAAAAAACACTCCCTGGGATGGTGCTGTGGCACAGTGGGTTAAGCCACAGTCTACAGTGCAAGCATCCCATACAGGTGCTGGTTCTAGCAGAGCGGAATGTCCAAAGTGCTCCAGGTCTGCTAGAGAATTTACAATTAAGCAAAACTTTACTTGCTCAGAAAGTGTTACACCTGGGCCCATGCTGAAGCACAGGAGATTAAGCCGCTGCCTGCGATGGTGACATCCCATATGAGCACCAGTTCGAGTCCCAGCTGCACCTTCCCAATCTAGGTCCTTGCTAATGTTCCTGGGAAAGCAAGGAAGGATGATCCACGTACTTGGACCCTAGCCAACACAAGGGAGACCCGGATGGAGTCCAGGACTCCTGATTTCAGACTGGCCCAGCACTGGCCACAGGAGACATGTGGGTAGTGAACCAACAGATGGAAGATCTCTTTGTCCTTCCCCCTCTCTCTGTTACTCTGCCTTTCAGATAAATAATAATAAATAAATCTTTTTAAAAAGAGAAACTGTTAGTCCTGCAAGAAACCTTTTGAAATCACATAGCCCAACACTGTTGCCCTACAGCCTCAGTCTTTCATTTTTCAAATTGGAAAACCAAAGCTTCAGAGAGTGAAGTAAAAGGTCTGTAGTCAAAGGGTATGAATGTGGTAGCTTTAATGCTCAAATTCAAGACTGTTCATACACTACCTACTACTTTTTCTATGCTGCAGCT